TATGTAAAAGTCGATCTGTATCAGATTGTAAACGAATAAGACTTGAATTAAATCTATTCGATTTTTGACGAATTTCATCTAATTCTTTACGACGTTGATGAATACGAGTTTCTAAAAAGATGGTTTGTTTTTTTTCTTTTAATCAAATAATTCTCTGTGTATCTCTATTTATTACCAAGATCTTCAATGGTTTGATGAAAATTTTTTAATTGACTATCACATAATTCGTTTTGCATTATTTTGTAAATGTGGTCGAAATATCTCAACTAATTTCTGTGCTTCAGCTAAACGATTTGTTTGTTCATGACATATTTGTTCAAGAGACTAAATACAAAGATAAAATATATTAAAATTTCTACAGTAGAACAATAACAACATAGGTGTAGTTCACGATCATGTTGATCAAGTCGATTACGATAATATCCATGAAAAAATGGTGCTAATTTAAAATCAGCATCACTAAAAAAAAGAAGAAAGTAACAAAACAATTTATCAACTGAATTAAAACTTTTAGAATATTCATATAAAATAGCTGTTTTAATATCTGCAGTTAATTTAAGATATTGAGTCATACGTTGATGAATATCATCAAGTATAGTACGTCGTTTATTTAGATGATTCTATTAAGAAATAAAATTCTAAAGGATCCTGTCGGATAAGATAGCCATCGTTCATTTCAACCGTTGTCTAGAACAATTTGTGCTGCATAAAATGGTCTATAGAAAATAACTTTTTCATCAAGTTTTTATATTCTGATAAGTCTGATAAGTGATATACCTCTATCTTGTGTAGCTTTTACCTTTGATGGTATTTTAAATTCTTCGATATCACTCCTAAAAGTAAAGGTGACTAACTGTGCAACTTTCATATCTTTCGAAAATGGGTAACAAAATTTTCATTGTTGGACCCTTGAAGGGAAATACGGGAATGGATAATTAGAAAGAATAGTTTTTATTTTATTTTTCTTCCTTACGAATTTAGATTGTGAGTAGCCGCGTGTGATTAGACTATGGAGCTCTATGATATTGAATATATATTCAGTCTCTAATGAGAATTAAAAATTTTGCATGTTCCCATATCCCCCCGTTCCAGAAGTTGGAAAGTGAAAATTTTGTTCCTATTTTTGAAAGATCCATATATGTCAAATGATGGAGTATGATGAACTTATTATTAATAGATAGAAACTTTTTCACTCAAGAAATATTTATCACAAAACTCATATACTTTTCTACTCTTATAGGAATCAAAAAATTGACCTTTTGTCTTGAGGAGCAGTATCGAAGAATTTCAAATATAATGGAAAGCCAAAAATGAGAGAAGCTAGTAAAAATGGTAAGGTTTTGCGTATGAGGAAAGTCTTTATTAGTATTGTTAGATATACATGATTGAAGACAAGACAAAACTCTATTGAAGTAACTTTGAACAAAATTTGATATAGGTTGGTTTGAAGATATACTCAGTCATAAGACGGTCCTTTCCAGAGGCAGATCTAGAATTTCGGGAAAGAGAACGATCAAGGTTGCCAAGTGTGTTTTCAAGTCTATTACAGGTCGTATCGGCTTATTTTTGGGTGTTTTCTACTGAGAAAAATTCCAAGATATTTTGGAAGAAAGAGACAATCATCTTCAGTGTTCTCCTCCTCGAAATCCACCACTGGTTCTTTATTAAAATTTTATAATCATTTACTTTAACTTGATGTTTAAGTTCTTCAACTGTATTTAATCTTTCACGAATTTCTTTATCATTTGAACTAATTAAATTTGGTTGATCACGAAGTGCTTGATCAAGTCTTAATAAACGTTGATCAATCGATACATTAAGTTGCTAAATAATTTGATATTTAGTTACAGTTTTATAGAAAAAAAAACTGACTGCCATTGAATCTTGAATATGATTAAGATAATTTAATGATAAATAAAGATCAATTGGTTGTGTTAATTCTTGTATAAGTCTTTTAAAACAATCATTAATAGGAATTAATTCTTCATTAAGTTTATTTTGTGTTTTAACTTTATGTTCATGTTCACCACGTGCTTGTTGACATGTTTTTATAAGTGTTTGAAGATATTCTTGACGTTGTTCAATTTTTTTGTTGTAATTGTTCATATTGTGAACGTGATAGTTCAGGTTTAAGACGTTCAGCAAGTTGAATTAATTTATTTAATCCTTGTTCATTTTGTTGTAAACGATCGAAAATAGCCTAAAAAACTAATCATTAAATTGAAAGAAATACTTTGCAAAAAAAAAGTTCGATTTTTGTTTTATTACTTAAAATGACATAACCTGTGAAAACAAAAAAAAATCTAACCTGATAATCAATTCGTTTATCTTGTTGATATTGACCGGATTTGAAATGTTCAGATGAAATTTGTAAATATGATTCAAGTTCTTTTTCTAAATGATAAAAATCATTTTCTCTTTGTAAAACTCTTTCTATTCTTTCAATTTCATTATGAATTTTTCCTTGAAGATTTTTAAAATTAGCATTTAATTGACCACCTCTACGAAAATCAATTCGATGTCCTTTACTGGTTAATAAACGTTGTAAACGTCTTAAT